AGGGAAATTTATAGCAGTGTATACCCACATTAGGAAAACGATGAACTCAAATAACTTAATATTAAGCCTCAAGCTTCTACAAAAAGAAGAGTAAGTCAAGCCCAAAGCTCATATGAGGGTGGAAGTTAAAAGATCAGAGCAGAAATTAATGCAAGGGAGACTAAGAAAACAATACAAAGAATCAATGACAAAGAGTTGGTTCTCTGAAATCAACAAACTCTTAGCCAACCTTCAAAAAAAAGAAAGACTCAAACTCGTGCAATTAGGAATGAAAAGGGTGAAATCACCAAAGATGCCACAGAAATCCAGATCATCTATACCTACATCTTGACAGCTTGTATTCTAGTAAGATGTAAAACATGGAAGAAATGGACAGATTCCTAGATACTCGTGAATTAGTAAAGCTGAATCAAGATGTAAAATTTCTACATAAAGCAATAACCAATGAAATTGAAGATATAATTAAAAACCTACCAACAAATAATCACAGCAGACTTCTCAACAGAAACCCACAAGTCATGCAGAGGCTGAAGTATTTCAAGTGCTAAAATAACCTCAAACTCACATTGATATAAGATACTTCTATGATGCAGAACACCTGAACAAATTCATGACCACAAAGCCAGCACTCCAGAAAGTTCTAAAGGATATTCCAAGTGAAGACAATGAAAACAATTTAATGAACCACAGCAGAATGATCCACTAGGCAAGCCAAGCAACTAAACAAAGGACAAAGGGAACCAAAAATGGGAAAAGACAAGTCACTATATGTGAGTTCTAACCATCAATGTAAAATGGTCTCATTCATCAATCAAATGAAATAGAATATCAGAATGAATCAAGAAACAAGATCCAACAATATGCTGCATAAAAGAAACTCACTTAACACAAAAAGAAATTTATAAACTGAAAGAGAAAGAAAGGAAAACAGTACTTCATGTAACTGAAACCCACAAAAAAAAAAAAAAAAATCAGGTAGCTATTCTATTTGGAGACAATGTGGATGTTATGGTTTGTGTCTAGATATCCCCTTAAAGTCTCATGAAGTCTTAGGGGGAAGGCTTTCAAAGATGGCTGAAACTAGAGCATGTGATTCATTCACGTTCCAATGCTGGGATTAAAAGGCTGGGTGCTACACCTGCCCTGGGACAGATAGCCTACATATAATATAAGGGACAGAAAGAAGCTTCTCACTCTCTCTTTCTCCCTCCTTCCCTCTATCTCTATCCCCGTCTCCCTCCATCACTCATTTTTGCTGTCTTCCACCACAGTTGCTCCTCTGCCTTGGAGCAAGCTGATTATAGACTAAAACCTCTACACACTGTGAGCTAAACAAACTATTCCCCCTTTAATTTTGTGTGTCAGGTATTTTGTCTCAATAATGACAGGAAAGTAACTAAGACTGTGAATTTCTAGCCAAGACTGATCAGAAAAAGACAAAGAAAGTCACTACATCTTTGTCAAGGGAACAATCCAAGAGGAAGAGATAACAATCAAAAACTTAAGCATCAACTACCAGAACACCCAACTATATAATAATAGACATTAACAGACATGAAAAATCAAACAAGCACTAGTACAACTAGTGCTCCCCGGTGTCACAATAGACAGCAGATCAACTAGACAAAAAACTCAATGAAGGAATTATCACTGCAGAACTCAATCTTGAACACATCAACTTAGCAGATATCTACAGTGTTCCAACCCACAAAAGAACATATATTTCCAGCTGCACATTTGACCTTTCTCCAAAACAGACCACATACCAGCCTACAGAACATGCTTAAGTAAATGCAAAGGAACTGAAATTTTCCCATGCATATTACCAGATAGTACAATAGTACTATCATATCATAGTACAGTAAAACTAGAAATCAATGGCAAAAGAAGTTAGGTTAATTCTTTGAAAAATTAAATAAACAAACTTTTACCCAACCTTATCATAAAACGGAAAGTAAAGACACCAAACCTTACAATTAGGAATGAAAAAGGAAACATCACAATGCATCCTAAGCAAATTTACAAGATCATCAACACCTACTTCGAGAACCTATATGGTAATAAGATGGGAAAACACAGAAGAAATGGACAGATTCCCAGATACATATGAATTACCAAAGCTGAATCAGGAAGATACAGAAATTCTAAATAACCCAATATCAATCAATAAAATTGAAGAAATAATTTAAAAACTACCAACAAAGAAAAGCCCAAACCCGATGTGTTCACTGCTGAATTTTATAAGAAATCTTAGAATAAGATGTAATGCCACTAGGCCTCAAATACTTTTCTGAAATTGAAAGGGAAGCAAAACTCCCAAATTCCTTCCTAAGAAGGATTCAACCACAACCCAGAGAAGAATCCAACCAAAATAGAGAACTATATGCCAAGCTCCTTAATGAACACACATACAAAAATCCTCAATACAGTACTGACAAACAGGATGAGGGAAATAATCAAGAAGATTGCACACCATGACTTTGCAAGATTCACCCAGGGATGCAGAGATGCGTCTATATATGAAACTCAGTAAGTGTAATACATCACATTAACAGAACCAAGAATGCAAACCAAATGATCATCTCAGTAGATACAGAAAAGCATCTTACAAAGTCCAACACTCATCCATGATAAAAATCCTAGAGAAACCTGGAATAGATGATCTATATCTCAATCTGATAAAAGCCATCTATGATAAACCAACTGCCAACCTCATACTAAATGGTCAAAAACTGAAAGCTAGGGGCTGGGAATTTAGCTCAGCGATATAAGTGCCTGCCTTGCAAGCGCATAGACATGAGTTCAATCCCTGTTACCGATAAAAAAAACAAACAACCAACTGAATGCTTTCACTCTAGAATAGGAACAAAACAAGGATGCCCACAATCACCACTCTATTTAATACAGTCCTGGAAATACTAGTCAGAGCAATTAGACAAGAGAAAGAAATAGAAGGAATAATAGAAAAAGAAGCTCAATTATCCTTATTGGTGGATGACATGATATTCATCATAGAACACTCCAAAAACTCTACCAAAGACTACTAGATTTAATATCCAGATTGAGTAGTGTAACAAGATACAAAGTTAACTCTTAAAAATCTATAGCATTCCTGTACACAGATAACAGAGAGAGAAATTAGGCAAACAACACCTTTCATAATACCATCAAGGAAATAAAAGATCTCTACAGTGAAAACCTCAGTACTCTGAAAAAAACACATCAAAGAGGGTATCACGAAATGGAAATATATCCCTTGTTTTTGAATAGGCAGAACCAATATACCGACAATGGCCATACTTCCAAAGCTCTTATACAGCTATAATGCAATCCTTATTAAAATACCAAAATCATACCTCACAGAACTAGAAGAAACAGTCTTAAAATTTATTTGAGACTAGAAGAGAACTACAATTAGGAAAAGCAATCAAGGTAACTAAAGCAAGGAAGGTAGTATCACAACTGATCTGATACTGTATTACAAAGCTTCCATGATTAAAACAGCATAGCATGGTTCTGACAAAACATCTGACATGAGGATCAATGCAACAGATTAGAAGATGCAGAAATAACTCCACTCACCCTGTCACTTTATCTTTGACAAAGGGGCCAAACACCTTCACTGGAGAAGCCTCTTTTAACACATGGTGCTCGGAAAACTGACTTGTCATATGCCGAAGATTAAACTTAGACCCATATCTCCCACCATGTACTAAACTAAAACTGAAATGAATCAAAGACCTAAATACTGAAATAGAGACACTTAATCTGCTGCAAGATAAAACAGGTAAACTCTTGAAGACACAGATATAGAGAAAGACTTTATGAACAAAACCTTGAAATATTACAAAGAATCAACAACTGGGATCTCATTTTATTGAATAGTTTTTGCACAGCAAAAGAAATCACTGAGAGTGAAAAACAACCCACAGAATGGGAAAAGTTTTTCATCAGTTATTCCTTAGACAAGACTTAGAGTATATTTAGAATATATACAGAATACTTAGAATATGTAAAGAAATAAAAAAAAGTCAAACACTTCTCACCAATTTAAGGGCCCACTCAAAAAATGGACAACTGAAATGAATAGACACTTCTCAAATGAAAAAGTACAAACAGCAAATAAATATATGTAACAAGCTTCAGCATCAGTAGTCATTAGAGAAATGCAAATTAAGACAACACTGAGATTCTATCTCATTCCAGAAAGAATGGATATTATCAAGGTTAACAACCAGTAACAAATGCTGGTGAGGCAGTGGGAGAAAAGGAACCTTTCTTCACTGTTGGTTGGAGTGTAAACTGGTACCACCAATATGAAAATCAGTATGGAGATTCCTTAAGGAACTAAAACTATAAATTCCATCTGACCCAGCTATTCTTCTTCTTGATATCCTCCCCAAGATTTAAAAGCTTCACACCACAGTGATATATTCACACTCTTGTTTACAGCAGTTCAATTTGCAATAGCTAAATCTTTGAAACAGCCGATTATTCATCATCAAGTGGATAAATAAAATGTGCCTTTACACACAACGCAATACTACTCTGTCATTAAGAAGGGTAAATCTGAGACATTTTTATGTAAGTGGATGCACCTTGAGACCACACCTGTAAGTGAAATAAATCGGACAGATGTTTAAATACTGTGTTGCTTCTCTTGTATGAGAAACTGAAGGTGCAAAAATCAAAATGGAAGACAGATATTGGCAAGTAGGAAGAAAATGTTCAAATGGGAAAAGGAAAAAGAAAGGGGGTAAGGGAGAATGGGGGAAAAAAAGAGAATACAAGGGGAAAAACAGAAACAAAGCTTTTGTAAACAATGAGGGGGGAAAGATCTGAAGGAAACAGAAGGGAATGTGAAAAAAAGACTCAAGATATATTATGTACAAGTACAAATTCCCTATGATGAATGTGATCTTTATGCATATCAAAATTATAACAAAATCAATTTAAAATCAAGTTTTATAGTTAATGATTGTGTAAAACTAAGCACCAACATTTACAGTATGCACTTGTGGTGGTCGGTGATGCACTGTGAGCTGAGGTCCTGCTGATCCCAGGGTTAGTCCATTGTTTACAACATATGTGGTTGTTTGAGGCACTCGAACAGTAACACCTACAAAGGAAAATTAAGGAATAAACATCAGAATTCTTTTTTTTACACTTTTTTTTTCTTTTTTCTTTTTATCGGTACTGGGGATCGAACTCATGACCGCCTGCTTGCAAGGCTGGTGCTTATGGCGCTGAGCTAAATCCCCAGCCCCAAACATCAGAATTCTATTGCAAATTTGGTGGTGTGCTAACTAAACACCTGAGACCAGTGACGCCATGTTTTTAAAATTCAAAAGGAAAAAAGACTTCCAACCTAGATATCTTTAATAGACCAAAATATTAAGTGTGAGAATAAAGAAATCTTTATTTATGCAAATACTATATTGTGTGAGTGTGCACACATGTGTGTATTTTTTGAAATATTCTTAAAAAAAAAACATAAACAAACTAATCCTTTCTCAGGTAACCACTAGAGAATATGCTCCACTTGTCTGAGAGAGAAAAAATGAAGAGGGAAAACATGAAATACAGAGTTCCAGTATGGGAAGAAATACATATGTCCAATAGGAAGGATACAAATAAAAGTCCTACAACATTTGTGCAACCTATATGGAAGCCAAATGAGCCGGAAGAAACACTGTGACTCGAAAGACAACAAAAGGAAGCGGTCTTTATAAATATACCTCCTGGTTCACATTTTCAACGAGTGTAGAAAAGCTCAAAAAGTTATCCTTTGAGTTTACGCTCTTTCTCTACATGCCTTGTTGCCCAGCTAAAGATATTCATTTCACACCACAGAAAACTGCTGTGAAATACCCTTGTGGATTACACAAGTAGAAAATTTATAGAGTGATCCGCTGTTTCAACCATATACTCAGCATCTGGCTATAATTCTAACAGATTGTGGTGCATCTAGTTTCCCAGAACTCATTCACAATCATTAACAACCTATTTTCTGAAGCAAAACTATGATCCATAGACATAACTTAATATCCCCTGGAAGCTGACATCTAGTAATATTATTGTAGTTTCTTTACTTAGCTAGATTTGTCCACATTATCAAATTTTTCAAAACTGCATTTTACATATATATGATATATGATATATTCATGTAATATATATTATATGAATAATAGAAGCAAAGGAAAAGGGTTTAACAAGGAAGATTACACATTAGCCAGCTTACACAATATTGATCTGGTAGAGAGTTCATAGGTGCTTTGTTTTATTGTTTATTTTTAAACTTTACAGCTTTTATACAAACATGCGTATATATTTTATTGTATATAGTATATATTTTACTACTAATGTACATATACTATAAGTATACCATATACACATGTATATAAAATGTGACCCACATACATGCATATACACACATGTATAACTAATATATATGCAAGAAACTACAAGGTTCCTCTGATATTTTCATTTCTTTTCTACGTTTTATATCTTTAAGACTTTTTTCCATTGGAAGTTACACATTACCATGATTTCTATTATATGCGCTAATTCGCAGTTGAGCATTCCTACTTTAATTAGATAGGGTGTCTCTTAACAGTAAAGTACGTATCAACATCAAATAGGGTACCACAATAGCATAGTTCATAAATTAAACACATAACATACATGTGAATTTTCTCTAGTTAACTTTCTTAAGGGGAGAAAAATGAGTTAGTGGTAGAATGGGGGGGGGTCATTCTTAAAAATTATGCTTAATTGAGAAAACTAAGTTTATGGTATATAACATTATGTTTTGAAATATGCAATTGTGGAATGGCTAAAAGAAGCTAATAAATGTGTATATTACTAACTTTTAGGTACACAATTCAATGTTCTTAACTATGCTGTAAAACTATGTTCTATGATAGATACAAACTTACACAATAAGGGTCTTAATATATTGAAGAATTTTTTGTAAAATCTAATATTAAACTATTTCAACTAAATGCTTAAGAGAACTCCCTATACCTCAGAAGCATATATAACGAAAGAATTGCTTACTATTTTGAGGATTGACCTGACGAACAGCAGGAGCCTGCATAACAGTTCCTCGCAGCGGGGCCTGAGCTGGTGGTGCAGGGAGAGTTGTATAAACCACCTGATGGTTTGCAGGAGCTCTAGGTACAGGGAGTCTTGTGGTCACCTGAGTTACTGGACGATGTGTTACATTCACCGTGGTTGGAGCTGGTGGTAAGTAAAAGAATGTATTAAGAACAGTAGATTTAAATGGTAGTTATCCTTGCATAAAGTCTAAATAACTGTAACAGCGTGTCCTTTGTAATCCTGCAAGAAAGAATGACAGTGCCAACCAAAATTAACAGTATTAAAATCCAAGCTTCAGGAAAAAAAGAATACCTCAATGATATCTAATTTTCTTCCAGCTCTTCAGTTTGACAATCATGACCATTTTTTTAAAATGATCTAGATTTAAGAATATGACTGCTATAAAAATGATTTAAATATGACTGCTATAAAAATGATTTAAAAGAGCAATTTTTTCCTCTTCTATTTTAAATAGGCTTAGTAGAGTGGCATTACTGGCCCTCTGGGCCTTTTCCCAAGGAAGTTAAATCTAAAATTACGTTGTTATTTCCATTGGCCATGAAACTGGCTCATTAATTAACATTAATTAACATGTTTGTACACACGACCAAACCAATGTCTTTGGCTGCCTATTATAATTCAAATTTTGTCTGCCTCTCCCCTATTCCAGCATTCTTTGCATCTAGGTCCTGAGAGCATACTTCAGGTAATGTTAACATATTTATTTATTTTTTTCCTCCGTCTTTTTTTTGTTTTGTTTTGTTTTGCTTTTATCGGTACCAGGGATCGAACTCAGGACTGCCTGCTTGCAAGGCAGGCGCTTATGCTGCTGAGCTAAATCCCCAACCCCAACATATTTAATTTTAAAAACTGAGTCCTAAACATTTACTTACAATATGGAACTATAATAAATAATGTAATTTTTTTGCTGAGAGTGACGGTGCATGCCTGTGATTCCTAGACTTTGGAAGGCTGAGCCAGAAGGACTAACATGAGTTCAAGGGCAGCATGGGTTACAACAAGTGAGTCCAACGTCAGACTGAAATACATACAAAGATCCATTTTTAAAAAATGATTTTAGTCAGGGGTCTGCTGCCTAGTGTGGTCGCGAGCTCCTATGTTCAAGTGATCCTCCAGTCTTGCCTCCCAAGTAGACAGAGCTACAGGTAAGTGCTACCAGACCAGACAATAACAATGACCATTTTGGGGAGTGTTTTTGTTTTGTTTTGTTTTGCTTTTTGGGTGTTTTTTTTATTGTTTTTTTGTTTTGCTTGTTTTGTTTTTTTGGGAGCAAAGTTCTCACTATGTAGCTCAGGTTGGCCTTGAACTCAGTATGTAGTCTAAACTGGCCTTGAACTGTGGTAATCCTTCTGCCTCAACCTCCCAAGTACTGGGATTATAGGCATGTGCCACCAAGTCTGGCAATAACAGTTAAAAGAGTTGTTTTCTTATTAATAACTGTCTGAATTGGAATCATACTTGACAGATGACTATGTGATAACTATATAACAGAAAATGTAATAAATATTTTTACAGGGAATTTTTTTCTTCAGTACTGGGGATTACACCCAGGGCCCTCAGTATAAAGGTACATCCCTAGCCTTTTTACTTTTTATTTTGAAACAGGGTAAATTGCCCCGGCTGGGCTGGAATTTGTGATTCTCTTGCCTCAGACTTGCAAAGGACTGAGATTACAGGCATGAGCTACCATGCCTCACAGAGAAAATGGAATCTATAATAAAATTGGTAATTAAAAGTTTTCTTTACTAAGAAGATCCTGCAGTCTAGGGATACAGCTTAGTGGTAAAAGTGCTTACCTATCATTTATTAGGCCTCAGGTTCAATCTCCAGTGCCATAAAATAAAAAAAAAAAAATGCATCTAAAGATACTTCAGCCTTTATATCTCTTAAATTTCAATGTGAGCCTTAGAAGAAGGAAGACAAGTATACAAGAAATAACAATTGTCCATTATGCTCATGTATTTGTATTATGACATTTTCTTCTAAAATAGCTAAATTAGGTAACTGATATGAATGCAAAGAAATAGGTATCCCTGCTCTGAAGGTTAAACTGAATAACAACTGCCTATTTAGACAGTAGTATTTCATAATGAGAACAATATAAAAACTTCATGCCAGAAATAGTCATATAAACACACAGTTTTGCTTGACAATTTCAACAAAGTAAAATATAGTTTAAATGATGGGAAATTCTGGATAACCATTTAGAACTCTGAAATCAAACAAACCTACACCAAACCAGTAGGCATTTACTGCCTCAAAAATAATTTCATAAAGATTAGTTAACAAATAGTTTACTGAATCACTAGAAAATATTCCTTCTCCTACAAATAGTGTACTATTCTGGTACACTATATAGAAATGTCACTGTGTAAATTCCATTTTAGCTCAATGTTTTCTGTAATGAGAAGCGTGCTTACACATATACTTTGCAGATACATCTTCAAGCAACAGCCTAATATGCAAAAAGACAAATCTTCTTGATTGACCTCTAAACAATTCTAGTAACATAGGCTTTATTTTGAAAATGTTTTGATTTGTAGTTTCTTGAAATGTAACAAACAAATCGTTCACATTTACTTCCTAATTGTGTGTTAGAGCAGTTAAAGGAAATTCAAGACTCACTAAAATAGTTCTTGTTTGATCAATTATAATGTCTTGGTTGTACACAGAACAAATAATTTTAATGAACTTTTCCAAAGAAGCTCCATCATTTGGCAGATAACAAAGACACAGAGTTAACTTCTTTGTAACAGTTGTTTACAGTGCCACTACTTAAAACTAAGTTACCTTGCATTCAAAAAGGTGCACACTGTCTTCAGAGTAACAATGAGAATTATTCTTACCCTTTTGTCTAATCTTTCCACTCAATTCCATGATCACAATTCTCTGTGTGACAAACTAGAGTCTGGTATATGACAGAAATTTTACCTGTAGGTAGTAAGTGTATGGTAGTTTGAGATGGTCCACTTGTTGGCACCCCAGATGGCTGAAGAGGTGGTGCTGGTTGTATGGGTTGCAATGGTCGAGATATGGGTTGAGAAGAACCCATGGTTGACACAGGAGTGTGACTGACTTTTTTGGATTCTGCTAATTAAAAGTGAGATATTATAATTAATGATACAAAAAACTAGAAAACAGGTCTTTCCTTTACAGATGAATTTAATTTTACTCACCACCTAGGTATATTTACCTACCGCAATTAGATGTGGATGCTAGAAAATGAAATAGCCAGAGTAATAAAAATAAACTAGCTTACTTTATATTACATTATATTATATATATTTTAATATAATATATAATATTATGTTATATTTTAATATATTTAATATGAATATTTTATTTCATAAATATTTTAATAATTATTTAATATATTTAATATAATATATACTTAATATAATGCATAATATATTTTATTTTAATGTAATATATAATATTATATTATATTTTAATCCAGAAGCAGCTCTGCCTGTGTCCTCTCAAAAATAATGTATGTTTATTTTTGTTCCTTATGAATTCACTACAGCAAAATATGCCCATAAGAAATAGTGAAAGCAGTGTAGGTAATCAGAGACTCTTTAATAATAATCATCATCATACTGGTATGAGTTCAATCTTGATGGAAGAAATATATTTCCCAGTTGTCTCTCATACCAAAAATCAAAATGAAACAACTTTATTATTACATAATCAATTATACAGCTATTAATTTTTCCAAAATGAAACTATAATAGACTTTTAACATCTTTAGTTCAAGTTCAGTGTTTTTAAGGTTGATTTCTTACAGTCTTACCAGATTTTCTGAATGCATCACTATGGATATAGTTTCACAGATATTTCTGTGAACAGTTTTCTGTATAGTCAATGTTGTGAAATACTTTATATCCTGAATCATAACTAGAAACTTATACCACAGAATAATGGAATTTTTAACAGAATATCTATTAATAATGCAGAAGAATAACTGGAATACAGTTTAGTATTTAGCCAATAATAGTATAACCCAGAACACTGAGAATTTTCAGTGTTAAAAGGTATCTTCATGTTTATTTACAAAATGCTGTTCAAAGAACCAAAATTGAATGGACACACATTTATAAGTACAGATGGCACGTACACACATATATAAAGGAAGAATTTTTAATGCTGAGTCAGAAGACCTATATTTGATTACTAGGTCCTTTATGATTCTGACATAGCAGTTCTAAATACCTTAAGTTCCTTCAACTCTAAAAAGAGTCAGACAAGTTTATTCCAAGGAAAAACAACTGAGAGCAAAGCATTTCTTAATACTATTGCTATTAAATACCTTGTGAAGATCCACTTTCTTCATCATCCACTGTGAGATCAATGACACCACCTGAATCACTGCCAGTGGTTTTTCCACTCTGAAAAAACAAAACAAAACAAAACAAAACAAAAAACAACTACATTCTACAAAGGAAAATGGCAAGTATAAAGGAAAAATGTGGTAACAATCAAGAGAAAAAGGAGTAATGAGGATCCTAGTTCACTGTGAATCCCTAAATGGATTAATGTGATAGAAGTTTCATCAGTTAAATTCCTGCCATGAAAATCAAAGTTTCAAATAGTTTTAAAAGAAATTTTAACTTAAAAAAAAATAACAGCACTTTCATAGAGCTATTGAAGTGATTATATGTTTTAAGTGTTATGAAACTGACTACAAGCATCATTAATTTCCTGGCACTTAAAATGTTACTTCTAAATTATCAATTAGTAATTCACCAAAACCTTAAAGTCAATCTTTGAAGACAGATTTAAGTTACAAAACGAATCTAAATCTGTTTTTTTTTCTCCCTTAGAAAGTGGTATACTATGGCATGATAAGCCATTAATGGGCATCAATCTTAACCAAAATAAAACCACTGTTCAAAATCGAATCAAGACCATCCCTCATTGAAAATACACATTAAAAACCACTGCATAGTGACCAAAGAAAGAGGGTAGGACAGCAGACCTACTGAATAAAGACTCTTAAATAAAAAAAACAAAAAAGGCTAAATTTTGTACCTTTAATAGGTTCGACATAATAGCTATGTGAATTTGCATTAAAAGGTAACTTTCTTGACTTCTAAAATACGGATATTGAAGTTATTGTGTGGATTAATCCACACATGTATAGCAAATGCTTAGCACTACACATGATACATGCAGCTGCTTAATAAATGATCATCAAAATTTACACAGATATATACTGAATCAACTCCCAATAATTAGGATTTTCACTTGCAAAACTCAAACCATGTATAACTGAAGAAAATAATTACTTGATTAGAAAAGACAGGTCCAATAACAGATAATAATGCTATTCTAAATCTTATAATTACAAATCCTTCTATGAAGATTTCGCAAAAATGATATATGAACACATTAGTTAAGTTCAAAATTAAAAGTTGCTAACAAGCTTCAAAGAATGGAAAAGAACCCATTTACTATGCCATATTAGTAAAAAAGTACAGCTTTCAAAACTAATTGTTTTGAAAAAAATCAAACATGCAAAGACCAAAAATGTAAAATTCAATTTAGGATAAAAGTCAATAGAAGCGGACTTCAAGTACGGCCAGATGTTTCATGCAGCAGACATAAAGTAGCTATTAAAAATGTGTTCAAGTAATTTTTTTAAATGGAGTATTAGTGAATCCACAAAGAGGAAGTCTCAAACAAGAAATAGATATAAAAGACAGAAAGAAAATAAGGCTGAAAAGATGGTTATCAATATAAAAGGTAAATCAGGCATGGTAGTACATGCCTGTAATCCCAGCATTTAGAAGGCTGAGGCAGGAGGATCGTTGTAAGTTTAAGACCAGCCTAGGCTACAAAGTGAGTTCAATGTCAGCCTGAAGTATATAGCAAAATTCTGCTTCAAAAAGACAAACAATCCATCAAGCAATAAATGGTAGGTAGGGCCAAAAGTACATTGTAGGAGACAGGAAAAACTCAGAAACTGATAGTAAATCAACAGAATTTTTTAAGTCTAAAAAACAGAGGAAAAAGAAAGAATAAACTTAAAAGTTATCCAAGAGCTATTTAAATATTTCAGTAAAAATCTAAATGCCAGGAAAGGTCAAAATTATTTCAAGAATAATGACCAAATATCCCAAAATTGGTTAAAAAAATTTACCTGACAAATCCAACAAGTTTAATAAACCCCCAAGCAAGACAACCATTAAGAAATTCACCCCTACATATACTGTAATCAAACTACCCACTGCAAAAAAAAAAAAAAAAAAATCTAGAGTTAACTAGAAAAAAATTTGTGTTAAAGTAGTTATTACTTTTGCTCAGAAACTATGGAAGCAACAAGATGTTAAACAATATATCTAATGCACTGGTAATTTTTTTTTAATATCTAAACTTAGAATTTTATATTCAATGAAGCACTCCTTTAGAAAAGAAACCGAAAGACACAAAAGTACATACACTAAAACCTAGAAAATTCATCCCTACCAGATCCACCCTGTAAGAAAAATTTAAGGAAATTCTGTGGTATAAAAGGAAATGCCAACCAAAAAAAAGGAAATGCCAATTTGGATTATGGAAAAGAGGACTGGAAAAGGTAAATATAAGGATAAACATTAGACTACAAATCTTAGTATCTTTAAAATTCTACAAAGCAACTAAAAAAACAATGTATCTGTAAATCTGTAACATGATGTGATGTAAATGTAAAGATACATATCAAAACAAGATTGTATCACATAAACCTGAGGGAGCCAGGCATAGTGTCTAGTTACAGATATGTGTTGAATTCCAGCTACTAGGAGGATGTAACAGGAGAATAGCAAATTCAAGGTCATCCTGGGCAAGAGAATTAGACCCCTTCTCTAATACAGAAATAAATGAATCCTAGAGCATCTTTAAAAAACAAAGAGAAAACATAAATCTAGAAAGCCAGTAGAATACTTTAAAACAGAATGCCTAAAAAGAAGACAGGAAATAAAACGGGAAAGATGTCACACAGAAACAAACAAACAAACAAACAAACAAAAAAAACCCCAGCAAAATAGCAGACCTAAGTACAACCATATTAATAGATATTAACTGTAAAAGGACTAAAAACTCCTATCAAAATATAAAGATCATCAGATGGAATACGGAAAAAATTGAGAAAGAATATTTTGTTTTCTGCTAAGATTCACCTTAGATAAGAAGACATAAAGCCAGGTGTGGTGGCAAAAACCTATAATTCCAGCACTCAAGAGGCTGAGGCAAGTGGATCACTGGAAGTTCAAGGTCAACCTGGAGTACAAAGTGAGTTCAAGACCAGTCTGAACTGCAACTGTCTCAAAAAGGCCAAAAAAAAAAAGAAAAAAGAAAAAGAAAACAAAACCTAGTAAGTTAATGGTAAAAGGCTGAAAAAGTTAACAAGTTTATAGTAATCACAGAAGGGCTGTTATGACTGTTAATACAAAAGAAAACTTTATAATGACCAAAGAGTCAATGTACCAGGAAGACAAGTGAAGATTATAAAGTATACATTATAGAACAATATAAACCTAGTAATAAAGCACATGGACTAAAACTGATGCAACTAAAAGAAAACCTGGGACATATTCATAGTCATACAAAGCGAACTTTCAAACAGTGAGACTGCAAATAGTTGTGTTCCATGATCCAATCAAAAATATTAATATGGTCATCTATTTAACACACCTAAACACACTTGCTGTTGTATCCTTTAGGGCACTTTTTTTTTTTATCCTCTCTTTATTACAACAAAATTTACACAAAATGGTTATATCTTGAGATCACAATTCTAACTCAAATAAATCAGACTCAGAAGGTTAGATAGTACATGGTTTGTCTTATATGAGAAGCCCAAAGTACATATAATTTAGGAGCAAAATAAAAGATAATGATGGGAAACAGGGAGACACGTTGCAGAGGTGGGAGGAGACATGTAGAAAGGAGAGAGGAGGGGGAAAAAAGGATCATGAGGGGATATGTATATACCAATTCCACACAATGAATGTATTTGTTATATACTGCAAGCATACACTAATAAAAAAGAAAATTTTGCAGAAGCAACTAAAGCAGTGCCCATAGAAAAATTAGTATCATAAAATTCTCATACAGGATAAGAAAAAGATATAATACATTACCTAAGCTACTAAATTTATTAATTATTATTCATAATAACCTGACAGATACAGCTTGTCGGCTGTTTCATACTTCAGATAAGTTTCCCAGCTAGATTTCTTTTTTTTTAGAAATACAACTGGCAGACCAGGACCCCCATTCCTATAATACCCAGCACTCTGGGAGGTTGAGGCAGGAGGATTCAAGTTAGATCTCAGCCTGGGCAACTTGGTGAGACCCTGTCACAAAATCAGAAAATTATAAAAGAGCTATGAACAGCTCAGCCCTGGATTTAATCCTCAGTACCACCCCAAAAAAGAGAGCATTTGCACGTGGTAATTATTTCAATAACTATTAAGAGCATTTTTAAGACTGTCATGATAGTTAACATTCTTAGCAGACTGCATTTTTATAATATCTCTTTACATTCATTAACATATCTAATCTTTAAAATAATCTTGTAAGTACTAGCATTTCAAAAGGAAAAATATCTTAGGTATGAAATAACTTGCTAAAGATCACTTGGCATAAAGTAACAGGACAAGGACAATGACACCTGTCTGCAGAATTTATTATTTCTATGACACTAGATAGAAACTGACAGACACATACAATTATTATATGCATGTTTATCTTTTCTTTCTGATAACACATTACATGTGAGAGTATTTATCTAACCAAAGATACCATGTTTGTATCTACATTTATACATATTACTGACTCCTTCAATTTCAAGCCATCAAAAATATCATTTGTATCAAATAGTTTTTAACATTAAGAATTAAAAAGTTAACTAATTGTGTTTTATTCTCAAAACAATTTCATTAGAACATTAAAAAATTTCCAAAAATCAAGAGTGGCTTTATAGGGATTTTTTGGCAATGAAATAAGCACATATTTAAAGACTAAGGTAGGATACCTCAGCAATTGGCACGATTATGAAAGACTTGATTGCACACTCTTCACATCTCTTCCATAGGAACCTAGAACCATAACTGGGGCTTAGCCAGTTATCAGAACTGCGGCCCCTTAAGGTAAGTTAATGATTAGTAATCAGGATTACTTTGCACAACTATGACTGATGATGCACATCGGGTTTTACTTTTGGTCTTGAGTTTCCAATGCCACAACCAAATTATACAGAAAATGTGTCTGTGTGACCAGGCCTTCCAAAAATCTCAGGCCCTGAGAACTACAATTCTTTGGATGCACTCTTTGCAAATGTCCCTGTAGTTAGTAAGCCAGAGAGAAAAAGCAAATTCTGTGTGATCTCCGAATCAGGGTGTTTTTGAAAAGCTCTAAACTCCCTTTAAATATTTTTCCTGGGGGCTGGGGATTTAGCTCAGCGACATAAGTGCCTGCTTTGCTAGTTATGAGTTCGATCCCAGGTACCAAAAAAAAATCAAATAAAACATTTTTCCTATTACTCTCATTCTACTTTTTTTTGCTATAATAAACTACAGCCATTAATATAATCTGCTAATAGGTTTTATGAGTCCTTCTCTAGTAAATTAGCAAACGTGCGATCTTGGTTTCCTAAAAAGCTGCACTATTAACTATAGATATCAAGATAAAAATGAAACCAAAAGTTTTATAACATATGCTGAAAATATACAATAATTCATTATATGAAATCCATTAATTAATAAATATTTACTTGGAGGACTCTGAAGAAATCTTCACTGGAGAACTTATTGCCTAAATACCACTTTATGTACTTATGTATTATATATGATAAATAACATAAAGATATATTATGCCACTTTGCATAAGGAACTTGAGCATTTATGAATTTTAGTATCTGTGGGCATCCTGAAACCATCCCCCACAGACGCCAGGGGATGGATAATTGTATGTATTCAATAATGTCAGTACTGGTCTGCTTTGAAACTCTCTGAATGTGGTGCTTGATGCATTCTGGTAACAAAATTCTGTACTGGCACTGGCTGTTTAGCACTTGACAGTTAGTTGGCTTGGGACTAGCTACCCTTTCTAGCCCTAACAATTTATTTGGTACTCTACAAGTACCCAGGGACCATTATATTCATTTGCTAATTAGATAATACCTCAGCACCAATAATTTCATAGTCATTTAGATTTCTTCCAGTCTATGACAGTCCTAGAATGTTATAAAGTACAAGTAGATTTGGCAAAGAAAAATGGAGTTAGCCTAAGGTTATTTAGAAAGTGACAGCTCAAGAATTAAAAGCTACCTGTTTCACATGGCTAAGTCTATCAGCTAAGTGGTACATAAGGTAAGAAACTAACAACAATTAAAACATCTGGCCAGGTGTGGCTGTGTATGCTTGTAATCCCAGCACTAGGGAGGTTGCCATGAGTTCAAGGCCAGCTTGGGCCATAAAGTTAAGTTTAAGGTCAGCCTGAACTGCATAGTGAAACCCTGTCCCCTAAAAGAATACCTTTTCAAAAATCCAATAGCCTTACATTAATGAAGGTATATGCAACAAATATATAAACTGTATTTGTATCCCAAAAAATCCAGCCAGCAACAATGACTCTGTAACAGGAAGCACATATACACTTTTCTTAATAGCTTATTATGTAATCAATTTCATATTTTATTACTCATATCTTTCATGCATTCAAAGCTGAAACTATTTCAGACAAAGCTTCACATTTAAAAAGTTAGTTGCTTTGCTAAAGTACTTATCTGTGTTTACGATAATCAGTACAATAAAAGCAAAATATTTTAGATTCTAAAAGCTGTGAAGTAGAGAGCAATACACAATGTTTTAGATTTTCTAGAATAAACTGTTAGGTATTACTAGATTTTTTATTATTCTTTTATATTTTTAAATTTTTCTTCAATTAAAAGTATATCAAGCTTTTAGTCAACAGTGTATTTTTACTATACATTTAGTATATATTATACTATACTAGTATATATCATATGTATACTAGTATCCATAGTATAGTACATATTAATGGCTATAGTTTATTACAGCTACATTTGTCCAATAATGTAATCACTAGACACTAGTAAAATGTCACTTTTAAAGTTAAAATAGGTTTACTTTAACCAGTGATTTTTTTCAATTAAATTTAAATAGTTACATGTCTCTATAGAGAGTACCACTCTATAAGTATCACTACTATTTATAAAATGCTAAACTACAGCTAATATAATGTTCATTTTCAGGTGATGAAAATGTTACCTAGCCTGTCAAAAGCAAAACAGAACAAAACAAAAAATAACAGGAAAGAATATAAATATCAGGAAGGAAATAAAGACATTTATAAATTTCTTGTTTAATTTCAAGTTGACTTTGTAAAGTTAGACTTTCTGTAGATGTCATTTTAAAATCACTTAGAATGCTCATTTGCATCACCAGAACAACACAAAACGCAAGTGCATAAAGAATTTGCTGAGTATATTGGTATGTGCCTATAGTCCCAGTTATTCAACAGGCTGCGGCAGTCATTTGAACCCAAAACTTCAAGGCCAGTTTGTGCAAGAATCTCCATATTTAAAAAAACAAAAACAAAAACAAAAAAAAAAAACCTTTTTCTATACCTTGTGTCTTCTAGAAATATACCTCACACAATTTTACACAACTCTCATTTTTCATATTATACACAAAGCCTGCTGAAATCTGTAATATAAAATATTTTAAAACCTTTTATTGATCTATAAACTCAGTACGTATATCTAGCTTTGGTCCAAAAGTACGAAAAAGTCATAATTATTCTGACCATATTTTTAAATGTCATTTACTTGTGCCTGACATACTCCAGGCTAAAAATAATATCTGAGTTTCTTGAAACAAAGGAAAGAAAGAAAATATTAATAACCTCAATGTAAATCTAATACATCTAAGGCAATACAGAAGAATTAGAAGGAACACTATTAATATAAGAAAGCAGTAACTATTATTAGGAGGTTAAGATTCAATCAAAGCTTAACAATACTGGTTAAGCACTAAAGATAAAACTATCACAGAGGTAGTTCTACAAAAGTCTACCTTTGAGGAAATGAACATGATGATGGTATGGGAGGGGTGCCAAAGAGGAATGAACAACATGGGGGTAGGCCACATAGATGCTCTCAAAACAAAGGGCCTGGAAAAAGTTCATGTGACAGAGACTGAATTTTTATAGTATATAAAAACAAATAAATTGTCAAATAAATCCAACCAGTTGGTAATATAATCAACTGATATTATTTCAGAGAAATACTAGGCAAAGAAACTCAATTCTTGTCAAGCATTAAAGAGAAGCTGTGAGAAAATATTTGGACAGTTGATAAAAAAACAGTATTTTCACTGTAGCAGAGAATACTGATGAAAATTTATTATTCTTTGGGCTTAATCAGAATTTTACTTTGAAGTAAAAGGGAAATTCATTACCTGTGCTGTGCTATCAGCTGCTTTCTTATTAACAGAAGCATCTATTGGTTTGTTTGTCTGGTTTTCTGAGAAGGAAAAAAAAAAGCCATTTTAAAAAACCATCTACATTATGTAAAAGGTTAGGCTGCTGTACATACAATAATTTGGGTAATTTCTTCCAACTATTTTTGTCAATATACATAAATGGATTCTCTCATAGAAAGATGTTTCAGCATCTTTCAGAAAGGCAAATTTATAATACAGAAGAAAAACCTTCATCTACTCATTGACCCAAGCAATTTAAATTCTATCATAAGGAACACTCTGGGAAAATAATTTAAAATAGAAATAATTTTCATGCTCTAACACAAAGAAAATAGCTAAACAAAATATAATCTTTCATAGTACAGTATCCCTTTTGAAAAAAATTTCCCACTTTTCAGGAATTCAATTGCAGATTATTTTTTCTTTACTCATTTTAACTAATTTATATTGAGTTTGGGAGACAAAAGTGTTACTCCACAACAGCATAAAAAAAAAATGAAACATTTTCTAAAGGGATATGGGGGAAACTCTTTGGTAGTAGAACTAATTATGGAAGAGTTCAGCTGAAGCACTCTATCCTTTTTTCTAGTAAAATTTTCTTGGCCAAAATGAGGCCTTCTTTTCATTTGTAAATCTGTGGAACACATACAGAGGAAACCATTTTTGTTTAAACAAAGATAAAATTGTCTTTTCATATTATATATATATATATATATATATTTCTACATTTTAAAAACCAAATAGGGTAAGCATCCACCTATTAAAATAGGTAATCTAGGGAAAAGAAGTAAACAGAAAGCCCTTAACAATTTTCTGAATCATTTAAATTCTTTCCTAGGAAGAACATATTGATTTTTTTTTTAAATCTTAAAATTATCTCATTTAGTACAAATGAGACTTTGAAGTTCCTGAAGACTATTTAACACAAAATTACAAGTTCCGAGTTAGTGATCCTACAAGCTGGAGTGTTATCTCTAAAATATCCTAGTAATATTAACAAAACATTGAATTTTTTTGTAAATGTAATGTTAAAAAAATATTCATATAGATTTGACACTGTGATTTTCAAACAAAAGTAAAAGGCAACTTTACATGAGAAGCTGATAAAAGAGCTTCATTTTTATTTTCTGTTGTAATAGTCTCATACAAAAATTCCTCAAAACTGAGGCTGCTTACTAAAATATCACACATACACATTTTCAAAAACTAAAGTTCTGCTACCTAACATGATTCTGATTTGTCTCAGGGCAAACAATTATAGAACTATAGCAATATTTATTTTAGATTTTTAATTATTATACCCCCATTATAGATCCTTTCTTTGGTTAAATGTAACATTTTATGGTTTCACTACATTTTTTTCCTGTTCTTCTAATACAATATCTGCTTAGGATGACTTAAGTGAAAACATCAATTTATCAGTCAATGAATCAGCAATATTGGTCAAGGTGTGAAATAAACTAACTCAAAATTCTTCTATTATTTGGGGTATATCTCTATCTCATTATCCTTCAAAGATATTAGTTCATGTAACAACAGTCACTCTTTATGAATACCACATTTTTACCATACTCATAAGAATATTTTACAGGATGAGTACAGACCTCAGTAGGTCTGTATAACTGTTGTATAAACAAAAATGGAAGGCAAAATCTTCAATGAACTCTGTCACAGAAGAAACTCAAAAGAAATTAAAGCTGAAGGGGTTTTGCTTAAATTCTTGTTTTTGCATGCTATTGAAACAAGACGTTTAATGAAATCTGAGTTACAAATGAATTCTATATAACTTGCCCCCAAATCAGCACTTTCTTCAAGTCTACCTTAGTAAGTGGTACTAGCACGTAAGACTTAAAGTGGGGCCAGGGATTTAGCTCAGTGGCGCAGCACCTGCCTGACAAGTGAAGTCCTGAGTTTGACTCCTGGTAAGCTTCCCACAAAAAAGAAAGAAACGTAAGAATCTTTAGCCTTTCTCTCACCATTTAATCTTTTGTCAATAAATTAGCAAGTATTGCCAATTCTATCTCTTGAATAACTTAAAACTTTTATACCACCACTTACTTATTTTGCTGCAACCTTCCTAATTACATTCTTATCCCTTCCAAACCATTTTCTACACTGCAGCCACTATTCATAAATGTCACATTCCTTTCTCCTCAAAAAATCATTAACCTCCTTTCCCTCAGCTTTTGTTCATTATTTCATACTTTTCTAGACCTCCCATGTCCTCTCATATCTTCTCAAAGAAACAGAACATCTTAATATTCATCACACAATTACTTACTCAATGGACACATTCCCAATTTCTTGCAAAATAGGGACTACTCTATACTTTTCTGTGTGTCTGCAAAACCTTACAACAATACAGGCAACTCAGTATTTCATGAATGAATAAAGTCTCTAACATTTGAACCCTGAATTTCCAAAACAGCCCCAAGAGGACATTTACTTCACTATAAACAGAAAATACTGACTTAAGATTCTCTAATAGAATGAACTATAATAACATATATATAAGTATATGTAATAATACAGCATATAGTTTAAGTAAATAAAGATAAAACTATAGAGACATATAACTATTTAAGTAAATAACTCCTAAGTATTAGAGTTGGAAATTTTAAATTATATAATCTAATTAATTTATCACAATAGGGATACAGAGTTTAGCTTCAACTTCCCTATTCACTAAAAATCTGCCATTGAGTGTTACTTTGGACTTTTGAAAGAGTAAATGAAGCATCTATTTTAATATCACTTATGGCACTCATAAAATTACGAATAATCAGTGATTATTCTTGTAAGATTCAGTCTAACATTATAAAAACATACAAAATTGTCATTTAAATGTATTTACTATATAACAATTCACTTTTAGCTGTAAGTTAAATGGATCTTGAAATAAAGATCTGCAATCTAATGTATTTATGAATGTATTAAATATATATGTTAAGATAAAAAAGTATCTCAAAATTAGAATGCTCCAGAGATTAATCACTAAGAAAACTACTAATCTAATACATTAAATAGATTGGCAAGAGAATGACACATTACTAACAGAGTACACCAACTAAATAATTTCGGAAGATACGCTTTTGATGCTCTTAAATATTCATAAAAATTTTCAGAGAATATTCAGATGAAATTATTAATCTGATATTTGTAGAAGTGGTTAAAGGACAGGTATATATAATAGTAAAGAAAATATTTTCCTGAAGTTTCTTTCTTTTTGGGTCCTGGTCTCTTAGGAAAATACTGTATTTTGGAGTATATCTTAATAGGAGATCAGGAATTAAAAACACTGTGAACTTTACTTCAAAACTTCACAGAAAGGACAAATTCCAAAATCAAATTAAAGCAATTCCCATTATAAATCATTTAACGTATTAAAAAACACTAAAAAGAAAAATTGGAGAAAAATGGAAGAATGCCCTCCCCCAAAATCTTGTCTATTGATCTCAGTTAAACATAGAAATCTTTTTGTGCTGCAAACATGAAACAGTGACTAAGAAATACTATGAAATTAGCCAATACGAACACTATTGCTGCACTATGCAAACATTTAAATTACAAGCGCTATTAAATAGAGTAGTTTCATTTTCATATAAAATGTCAGTTTACTCTTATCCCACATGTTCATTGTATGAAGGTGATATTGAGCTTTAGCCTAATAATTAATTTGATCACTTTTCATTTAGTTTCTTGACAATTTTGTGAAATGCTATCACTATCTTATATGAGAGAACATAGAGTAAACACACTAATTATTACACAACAAATAATAAGGAATGCTATGTTTACTTGAAAAGTAATTTTCTTGCCTAGCATGCATGCCCTCTGGGTTCTGTTCCTACAGGAGGGGAGGAGGGGGAGGGGGATGATGGGGGGAGAAGAAAAGGAGGAGAAAGAAAAGGAGAAGGAGGAAGAGGAGAAAGAGGAGGAAGAAGAGGAGAACAATAACAAGAACAACAACAAGAAGAAGAAAGATAATTTTTATTTTGTATGTTAAAATGCTTTTTGTATTCCATGGTCACTTACTACATACATCAGTAAGAAAAATACTGTAGGAATTTCATTATATACATGATACTACCCATTCTTCTTTGGTTTTCTGAAAGTAGTAGGGATAAATGTGAAGTCAGAAATGAAAAAAAAAATAGTAAGTCCAAGAATGCATACAAAATATGTACTTTTTAGGAAAATAAAGACATAAGACTTGGCAATTTTAAATATAGATATAATCAAGCTCTTTTTTTCATTACTTCTAAGTAAAACACAAACATTCATACATTTTACAGAGAAAAAACAGAAAACACTAGGAAATCAGGTATTATATAGTAAATCAGAGGCAGAAAAATCTATTTTTAAATTGCTCAAATTTAGAAGATAGGAGCAAAGAATGCACAACAGACTTCCTTTATTGGGTAGGAAAGACAGGGCAGTTTATTTATTGTTCTGTTGTAAGCATATATAATATCTCAATCAGAGACTTAAAATGTACTTATTTTACTTGGATATCCCTAGCAAATGTATAATGCAATTTTGCTGCTCTAAAGCCTAAACTAAAAACTTACAAAATTTAAGAGACAAACTAAAAGATAACATGCAAATAATCACCCAAAATAACCTCCCTTTCAGACTGGGAAGAGAGAAGGGAGGAGAGACATAACTCTGTAAGGGGCACCAAACAGATTAGACAGGAGAAATTCTGATTTTACATAGCACGGAAGAATAACTAACTACTGGTTAAAACAATTTATGATATATTTCAAAATGACTAGAAAAGTCTAAAATTCTCATGGGGGCTGGGGATTTAGCTCAGCAGCATAAGCGCCTGCCTTGTAAGCAGGCAGTCGTGAGTTCAATTCCCGGTACCGATAAAAAGGAAAAAGACCAAAAAAAAGAAAAGAAAAGTCTAAAATTCTCAGTTCATAAATATGATTAACCTGTAAGTTATGTGCGAGAGCACATGTGTATAATCCCAAGAGTCTGGAACACTGAGGCAGGATGATTGCAAGCTTGGGCAACTTAGTGAGACACTGTCTCTTAAAATCACATAAAACAAACAAACAAATTGGACTTGGAATGTAGCTATCACTATGAAGGTCCTGGGTTCAATTCCCAGTAAAACAAAAATAAAAATAAAATTTAAAAAAAATTAACCTTTGAAGAGATAAAAGTGCTTATTCCTCTGATTTTATTATTGTACACTGCATACACGTATCAGATTACCATAATGTATTCCATAACAAATGTACAAATATATCTCAATTTTTAAAAAACCACCTCTTTCAAACTTTAGTTGAAAAACATCACTTCTCCTAGGTATCTACAAAATTTCTTAAATTAATGCCAAGGAAATTCTATTTACCCTGTTCTTTCCATAACACTAGCCAGTTTAAAAAAAAAAAAAAAAAAAAGCTGAATCATCTAAAAGTCATCAACATACTTCTATTTCTATTACTAAACTAATACAATGACTTACCAATTCTTGGAGTGGTAGTGCTGCTTTGTTCCAAAGAAGATGAAGTACTAAAAGCAGAAATTGGAATTTTCATCTGTATAGGACCTCGATTATTTGATGGACTATAGAGTCCTGATGGGCCCACTGTAGGTAAGGAAGTCCTTGTGGCTTGCACAATAGAGTGTGCTGTCGGAACAGCTTGTACAGCAAGTGTTGTTCCTAATGGTGCAGCACTGGCAGGAGAGTTCCTTTGAATACTAGGACTGGGCACAGAAGGAACGTTGTTTGGTTTAGAGGGATTTGGCAAGGATGGCAAGGATACCGAATTTTTGGTAAGACCACTCACTGTAGGTGGGCTTTGCACAGAAATAAACTCAACACTGCCAGATGGCTGATTAGTTACTAAAGTCCCTGGATGGCTCTGTAGGAGCTGAGGCTGGGAGGATACTGCAACAGGAACATGCAAAATCACTGGTAAAGGTTGTAGAGAAATTGTAGGTTGAGGATTTCCAGTAGGCACCTGAGTAGTTGCAACTACTGTAGCTGTATTGGGTGCAGGAAGAACTGATGTTGCTGTCTGAGAACCTGAAGTTGCTGGATTCTGCAATTTAGGTTGGCTAGTAACAATTGCTGGAGGAGTGACGAGACTGGTTGAAGACACTGTAAAGAAGAAAAAAATAAGTCTTAAACAGCCACCATAAGCTAGGACCTATGCAAATTCATTGTTACATCTAGTAAAATCTTACATAATGAGAATTTCCCCAGGTTTAAATTCTGATAATTCTTACAATTAGATTTTTAGAAACATTTTCGTGTGTACATCTGTATACTATGAATATGGCACATGATTCAATATGGAGGACTGCGATCTCAGTATCAGACACTCTTTGAAAATTACTATAAGCACTTCAGAATAGCAAATTGGAACAAGTAACACTAAAAACTCACCAAACAAAAATGTGCAGATATTTTTGAAACATTAAAAATATTGTGAGTGGCTTATAATAGGAGCAACAAATAAACAGGAACTCTTTCTAGAGTCTTGGCAGGGGATTTAGCTCAGCAGCATCAGTGCCTGCCTGGCAAGTGCAAGGCTGCGAGTTTGATCTCCGGCACAAAGAAGAAAGAAAGAAAAGAGTCTTGGCCATTAATGAATGGCACATAAACTTAAACATCATAGTTTATTACTAAAATCATGTGAAATTTGTGTATACAGATTGAGTTCTACTGAATTCTCTATGAAAAGAACAAGTTGGGGATCTCACTACTGACCCTCTTAAAACTAGATGATATAGAAAATAACAGTGAAAACTACAGATGGATTTAAAAAATGAGAGACTATACATCAAAGAGAAAATAAAAATGCTATTTGTAGTACTTTTGATTTACAATAATTTTGATTCTATTCCTTGGTTATTCTCATTGATATAAGTTTGACCTGTGTAATTAAGTTTGTTCTTCACTCATGAATACTTTTTTCAAAATCAAGGGTATACTAGACCTGTGGTTTCCTGAGACTCAAAAGAGTTTCCTGAGTCTCTTCGAGAGTCTGCAATAGCAAAACTATTTTCACTGTATGGGAATTTGCACTGATGAAGCAAAAGCAACAGTGAGGAGAACTGCTGATACCCTACTTCTACAGTCCTTCTTGAGCTGTAGTAGATACTTTCCAAGATTCTAAGTGTAGGCCTAAGACCATCAACAGTATAGGACTCTACAAACACTGTAGCCTTTGCTATATATTCAGTGTTGCTTAACAAGGTTGCTCTAGGCAATGTGTAGTTAAGCAATTTCACTATGGTGCAATCACAAAATGCACTTATACAAACCTAGATGATGTAAATAAGTTACTCAATGTGACACGATCAAGACATAGAGTAGGTATAAGATTTACAAGGATACTGCTGGCATAACACAGCAAGTTATTTTATAGAAAACTTTTAAAATAAGGACTACACTTTAAATAGCAATAAAAGTTATAGTAAATATATAAATTAATAAGTTGTTTATTATTCAGTATTACATATTATATACAAGTTTATACACTATACTTTCATAAACTGACAGTGCTAAAGATTGTTTACATCAACTCAACATAAAACTCGTAAGTAACGTGTTGAATTATGTTACAATGGCTACAACTTTACTAAGTGATAAGATTTTTTAGCTTCATTATAATCTTCATCAAGTAAGTATCTTACATATAATTCATTACTGACTGAAATGCTATTATGCAGGGAATGACTATCTACGATACAGGTAAATTTATAAACCAGCAAAAGATAATAAACAGGCTGGTCTGATGGCAGTGGGTTATTAGAACTTATTAACATTAGTGTCACTAAAGTGGGTATACCACCCCCTCCACTGCTAAATTTGACTGGCTTTTAAAAAAAAAGATAATAAACAAAGAATTGTTTTCATAATAAAATTTATGAATTATTCTTGGATTTTTTCACGTAACATTTGACTACCATAGGTAACTGAAATTCTAAAGATAAAGTGATGGTTAAAGAATATACAAAAAACAAGGTAGTGTAATGCTACCATACTGTCACCACATTCTTCATTATTCTCTTACACTTTTAGTTAAAAAACAAAATCTATTTCAATTAAAAATATCCATAATGAAACAGTAAAAATCATTAGTTTTATTACATCTCAATACTTGAGTAGGCATTCTTAATGCTCTGTGAATTGGTAGTATAACAGAAATAGGTGATATAAAATAAAACACAATTGCATGCCAAAACAGGATAACTGACAAAGGAAAAGTGCTTGTGTAACTTAAATTAGCAGCCTTTTTCATGAATGACCATTTTTACTTACAATAATAACCTAGAAAAAACAGTAAGAAAAGTCCATTAATGTGGTTTCAGATTTTACTTTGCACTAATTTTAAACTACTGATTTTGACTGTATCAAAGAAGAATATACAGGCTGGGAGTGGTGGCGCATGCCTATAATCCCAGTACTTGGATGGCTGAGGCAGTAGGATTACCACAAATTCAAGGCCAGCTACATAGTGGGCTACATAGTGAGTTCAAACAAGCCTGAACTATATGGCAAAACCTTGTGTCAAAAAACAAAGAATAACCACAGTTACTCAAAAAGATTAGCCATTTTCTACTTACATATTTGTATGTGGCTGGATTTTGTTCATATACTTCAGCCAAATATAATGACACAAACTTTGGAGTAACAGCTATAATCTCAGCACTTGGGAAGGTGAAGCAAAAGAATCGTAATTCTGAGGTCAGTCTGACCTATATAGCAAAACCCTCTCTCCCCCCTAAAGCAACACATTGAGGGTATAGACAGATTTAAATCTCTAGCTATGTTTAAGTGTCCTAACATCTTAAGCAAAACAGAGATTTATAACAACATGAAAGCCTGTATTTCACTGGTATTTTTAATCCTGAAAAATACAGCTGTTTTTCACTAAAAAAAAAAGGAATTTCCTATTTATTTTTGAACTTAAATTGGCATAACTCATCAACAAAAGCACATTACAGCTCTTAATTTTTAATACTGTAAAAGGATCTGGGGATCAGAAAGCTTGAGAAAACAATCAGGAATTTCAATATCTATATTCTAATATATACTTGTGAGCCCAAATTTTAGTAATATTTTATAGTTAGAACAATGTGCCCAGTTTTCTAGTTCACTTCCACAACCTCGAAAGAATGTAAGAAAAACAGTCTTTAATACCAAAGAAAAATTTCTTTCTGTTAAAAATGTTACCTGTGTTCACAGGAGATTGAAAAGATGGCGGTGCACTCTCACCTACATTTCTTTTGGACTCCAACATCTGTCTTACTGTGCTTGCATTTCTATGAAATATACATATATACAAACAAATAATCAATGGATATGCCATTTTAGGGGAAATTACTGACATACAGAAAAAGCACTGGCCTATAGTAGAGAAGGGGTGGCTAGATATGGGTTTCACAACCTGAAACTGCAAGCAAACACAACAAAGCACAGATGGCATGCAAATTTCTAAGTACTGGGGTCTATGGCCTTTTGCACTCTAACATTATTTATATTTAAGCTGAAGACCTAACAAAGGTTGTAATATACACAAACAGTAGTCTTTTTGTACCTGAAAAATGCATTTTTCAGTTGAGAAAAGTACTCATGATATAAGGTTAAAGAACTACACAATAATGAAAGTCTTAATAATAAATTGGCAGAAGTAATAGCTACAGACTAACAATGTAATAAAGAAAAAAAAAGGACATATTCTCAAGCCAGTGTAACAGGTATCTCTGTATCAACAGAGATAAACAAGATTTTTCTCTATATTGATATAGATAAACAAGATTTTTCTGCCAAATAAAGACAAGCAGAACCTATTATCTAAAAACCAGAAAAACAGACTGTAATTCTTACCTGTAGGCCACATTGTTATTGCTGGTGATATCAGTGGCAGATTTTTCGGGTGATACAGGTGGGTTTGGTGGATTCTAGGAGGAAGAAATACCCAAATAAAAATAAGACAATATGCGGACTACAAAAACAAAAACAAACAACAGAGCTACAAATAATTTTGTAGTATGTAATCTATTCTACTATATCACAGAAAATATTACTAGCTAAGAATTTGAAACCCTGTCACTGCCACTTACCAGTTGTATCTGAATTATTTAGTGTTAAAGACAACTGTTTATCATTTGAAAGATGAATATAATAATTACTATAATTCAGTATTCTTATAAACATATGAAACAAAAATGTGAAAATAGCTCACATGCTGACATAGAAAGCAAACATAATAGCATCAAAAATTTAATAATAAACACTGGAAATCAAAAGTCAAGTTATTTTTAAGATTTTGTTTTTAAAAATTCTACCCATTACATGACTTCAATAATTGCATAGAGATGCCATAATTCTAAGTCGCAATGACAACTTATTTCAGCTTTTCCCCCCAACAGAGGAATACTAAAATGGAATTCTTATATCTACTTATTAATTATCATTTAGACTTTTTTCACTAGTAAAATAAGTCCACTCAAGACTGAGTATAAAAATAACACATGATAAGCCAGAGTGATAAGCACTAGCATTATACGAAGCAGATGCCACTAACTACTCTCCTCAATAACAAATATATTTCACTTAGTACAGTGTTGTATTAGATATGTACATGTATAGAACGGACAAAATACTATTAAGATAAACTACTATGTAAAGCTATTTAAAAATCTGTCAAGAAACATCTGTATAACAAACACTAAAAGCATAAAATAATTTGTAGTGCCAATGGAAAAAAATGAAAAGTTTTGGGGTAAGACTCTAACTTTGAGAAGATTTCTTTTTGTTTTTGTTTTGTTTTTTTAACTTTTTATCGGTACCAGGAATCGAATTCACAACCGCCTGCTTGCAAGGCAGGTGCTTATGCCGCTGAGCTAAATCTCAAGCCCCCTTTGAGAAGATTTCTTAGTAGTTTTATATTCAAAATAATTAAAATAAAAGAAAACACTTTTATGATGTCTCTTCCCACTGCTGATACAACACTCACAAGGATGTTTATTTTGGCTCACGGATTTAAATCCAGGGTCTGTAGGCTACAAGGCAGTGGGCAGGGCAGATAAGCACCGTCAAGGAAATGCTGTCAGGAAGTAGTGAGCAAAGGGAGCAGCCACTGTGGGGGATAAACCCTTCCAAGTCAAACCCCTTACTAACCTGCCTCTTCCAGCCAGTCCTCCTCTCCTAAACTAAACACAAATCAGCTATAGCACCCCCATGATCCAATCACATTCCAAAAGCCCAATGTCTGAATACATGAGCTTTTTAGGGGACAATCTAGATCTAAATCATAAGAAACAAAAACAGGGAGAAAAAGCATAGAGAATAAAACAACTGCTTTAGAATATGGAACAGAGTCATTTGATAAGTGACTTTAAATTTTTTGGCATGGTGAGATCTGCAATATAATAGAATAGAAAGCTGTAGACACTCCTTTAATAAAGACAATGACTTGACAATGTATGGACCAGACTGCCTTTGTGAGACTTCTAAAATTAGAGATTGCAGCAGCTTTGGCAAGAACAAGATCAAAAAGGTACAATGAAATGAACAGGAAAGTATGTTCATTTACTGATCACACCTGATTAACTTTCCAGTATGGAACAACAAAATCAAAGCTTATCCACCAAGAAGTAAAGAAAAGAACAGAACTTGCATCCAATTTTTTGACAGCATGCTCAAAGCACTAGTTTTTATCTCACCCACCTCAGACACCTGGCTTGGAAAATACAGACTATGACTGTGGCATACATTGATACTTTGGAGGCCCCAAGACCTTTCAGCTTGCTATAGCATGAGAGAAGTTACATTAACTTAGAGGGTACTAAGGGGACCGCCAACACTAACAACTTGCTATAGCACAGACAACTGCAATACTGAATACTGATAGCAGAGGGAGCTCCAGAGTAAAATCAAGCAAATTTCTTCAGATGGGAAGATTAAAGCATAAAGATTCATCTCCAAAAATAATTTCAGGGTCCCAGAAAATTTCTACCCAGGCTGACTGTGTACATGGCCCACACCTGCGTACTCAAGCTGACTGCATACATGGCTCAGGAATTCTGGGGGCAGTGTCTGTTTTTACAAAAATCCAGATTTCAACAAAAGGTAACAATACATACAAAGAAACAGAGAACTGTAAAATAAATCTCCAGAAATGATATTAAAGAAACAAAAGAACTATGATTAAATGACCAAAAATACCTCAAAATGGCCAGGCAAAGTTGCTCACTCCTGTAATCTCAGCACTCAGGAGGCTGAGGCAGGAGGATCATTATGAGTTTGACATCAGCCTGGGCTAGAAAGTGAGTTCAAGGCCAGCCTGAATTGCATAGCAAGAGCCTGTCTCAAAAAGACCAAAAAAACAAAACCTCAAAATGACTCATCAAATCGTCAATGAGGCCAGAGAGAGCATTAACCTTAGTAAAATTAGGAAAATGAAGCAAGGAAAAAAAGTATCAACAAAGAGCTAAAAAGTATAAAAAAGAATCAAACAAATTCTGGAGCTGAAAGTACACTGATCTGTTTTCTGTTACTATGGCTGACAGTTTTGAACATCCAGTCAAGGGACTATGCTTTGTGATGGTTCCTTGCCAATGGAATCCCAGAGTGATACAGGGTGACAAGAGACAGAACTCTATGATTAACCTACAACACCTATACCAATTACAATCAAGATATCAGTCAGAGTTAAATAATCTTGAGAGCAGTATAAGAAAAATGACTCATAACAAGTAAGAGAACTCTCATAATATAATAAGTAGATTTTCCAGCAAAATTCTTAAAGCGAAAATCATTCCACATCATGCACTGAATGATACATAGTTCTGAGAAAAACAAATCTGTCAATCAAAAATATTCTTGCAACATAGTCTTTAAAATGGTGAAATTAACACTTTCCCAAGTAATAAAACATAAAAGAAACAAAACATCACCACTGGACCAGTCCTACCAGAAATGCTAAATGAAGGTCTTTAGGTAGAAATGAGTAAATGTTATATAACACTATGAAAACATACAAAAATGTATCTCTCTAATAAAGGTAAACAGAGAATACAGAATCCTGTGTTACCGCTATATTTGAACATAAATCACTTTTAATTCTGGCACTGAATTTACAAGACATATGCACCAAAAACAAGTTAATAGAAACAATGTTAAAAAAAATATATATATAGTTAGTTAACACTGGAACAATTCTGTACTCCCACTGCTCTGGAAAGGTGAGGCAATAGTATCCTAAATTTGAGCTCAACTTGGGCAATTTAGTAAGTCTCTGGCTCAAAATGTGTGTGTGTGTGTGTGTGTGTGTGTGTGTGTGTGTGTGTGTACATACATATCTTTAAGGATGTAGCTGAATGCAAAAATCATTAGTACATTGTCTAATACTACCCTTCCCTCAAAAAAGGTATCTTATGTCGATAACATCAAGTTGTAGTTAAAGAATAGTAAATGACTAGAGTTCTTTTATGTGATAGAAGCAACTTGATAGACCTTTAAAACAGTTTTAATTTTGTGATTTATGTAATGTTCACAGTATCCACTGAGAAATTATCTACAAAAAACATGATTTAATATATGCTAGTATATATATATTTTTTAAATTACTGAAATACAAAATAGAGAACAAAATAGTTATAAGGAATGAGGGGGGAAAAGGGCCCTATTAAGTCCCTCTCAAATAGTAATTGCTTGAAAGGCAAATGGATGAAATACCTCATTCAAAAGACAAAGAATGGATTAAAGTATGAAAAAACAGGACCCAACCATATTATCTCTTAAGAGACTGGTTTTAGATATAAACACACACAAAGGATGTAAGTGAAAGACTGGAGAAACACTTTGTGCAATTGTTGACAAGATAGTAAGGGTAGTCAGTCATACACAACATTTTAAGTCAACCACTGTCATTATATAATCATAAAAGAATCAATTTATCACATAAAACAATTATATATGCACCTGACATGGCAGCCCTCAAATACGTAAAGCAAATACTGAAAGATTTGAAAGAAGAGAGTTTGACATGCCAATTTCAATAATGTATTGAAAATTAGACAGGAAATCAGTAAGGAAATAGGACTTAACACTACAGACCACTCTAACCCAACAGACATAAACAATAATTTATCAAACAACAGCAGAAAATGCATTCTGTTTTAAAGCATCTTATGAACAAGCCACATGTTAATTCACAAAACAGGCCTTAACAAATTAAGAAAAAGTAATACTAGGGATCTTTTCTAGTCATGATGGAATAAAACTTGAAATCAAATTGCAGAAGGAAAGCATAAAATACACAAACACAATATGTAGAAATTAACACAAACCTTGAAAAGTCAATGAGACTAAGAAGAAATTGCATGGAGTATCAGAAAATATCATAATGAAAACACAGTATGTCAGGACTTACATAACTGAAACAAGTTTATAGAAGTAAACACAAAAAGAAAGATATCTGATAAAAGCCTAACTTTAGGAAACATAGCTCAGTGATAGAGAACATATGCCCTGGTTTCAGTATCTAGTGCTACCAAAAAATAGGAAGAAAGGAGAGTGGAATAAGGGGAAAAGCAAAATATTAAACAAATAAAACATCTAATTTCACAACTCAACAAACTAGAAGAGCCACCTAAAACCTGAAGTTACCAGCAAAAAGGCAAAATTATGATAGAAATAAAGGAAAAACAGGAACAAACAACAATGAAACTAGAAGATTTTAAAAAAAAAAATCAAAATTGGCAAACCTTTAACTAGACTAACACAAAAAGATTATTCAACTAAAAGAAATCTGAAATGAAAGAGCAGACATTGACGCTAAAGAAATAGAAAGGACTATAATAAACAATTATATGCCACTCAACTGCATAACTTTAAAAGAAATAAATTTATAATGCCACACCTACCAAAGATGAATCACGAAGACAAAAATATC